CGAAATAAGTCGGGAGAACTTTAATTCTGTAAAGCTCTCTTGATTAAATAACATTGAGAATCGAAGTCGCAACGAACGGCAGAGAAAAAGCGCTGTTCCCAAAATGTCCTTCATCGATCGACGACTCAGGGGCACCCAACGAATGGTTTCGGTAAATTATCTGTTCGGAAGTCCTTTAATCGCCTCTGATTTTCTGAAGAGAATTGCCTCCTTGAACTTTCGTGATATGAGAAATTTAATGTCTGTTGTTTTCGGATCGTAAAAAAATGTTGTTTTGGGTACCGAAAAAAGGTCAGCTATCATTTTCGGAAAGGCGATAAGACCTAAGGTTTTCGGGGAATGGACAAAAAAGCCCTAATAAATTCGACAATACCCAAGTTCCCCTAGAATAACCGAACAGATAAAAATTTTTTAGCGCAAGCTAAAATTAACCTGCAGAGCTTTAAAAGTACTCCAGATAGCCTAAAACAGCGTTTAAAAGCATTTGAGAGAAAACGGTCGTTGGGTGCCCCTGACGACTGCTTTCAACACCGTTAAACGGCCGAGGCAAAGTTGCTGCGATGCCCTTTCTTTGTAGAGAAGAAACTTGGTCATTTATTAAAGCAACTAAAAGTGCAACAATTACACAAACTGCAAGAACGGCTCTGTTCTTCTTCGAAAGGTCCAAACTTAATTAATTCTCTCAAACGATCCGGATCACGCAAGAGCTCAGATCGCGTCCGTGCGTAAAACAAACACGTATTGGTCGGATAAATAGCCTTCCACTGCTTTTCTCTGTCCTTCTTTCAAAGTCTTGCAATTAAGTTGGATAGACCATATTCAATTGCTTCCATAAAATTCATATCCTTAAATATATCCCAGAACAAACGCTAAATGAAAAAGATTTTTGAACTCAGCATACATTTGCTCTGCGAGTTGTGTCGTTGATCGCGCGCGACGTCATGACGTATAGTCAGTACTTGTTTGTTTATTGTTTAATGTGTATTTACGTAAAATTGGCGCGCTGCAAGTGGGAAAAGTCCTTTCCAACGGCGAAACCAACAGGCCAGGGAAGAATTATTGGAAAGGACTTTTAGAAAGTCTACTTGGCACCTTGCAGATCAAGAGAAGGGCTGAGGTGTTATTTTAATTACATTGTAGGTGACATTGAGGATTACAACTCATTGCGGGGGAGGAAAAGTAAGTTTAGCTTCTCCTTCCCCACGTCGACAGACGATTACAATTCAAGAAGAAAATAATTTCTGGTTGCTAATAAAGCTGGCGGTAATTTTTCGCGGGAACGCAAACTATGTGACGCGAAGGTCTAACATCTTTCCGGAAAGCGGCGCTTAAAAAGAAGAGCGCTGCAAATAATCATTGCAACAGCAACCCAAGTCTAAAGAATTTATCTTACAATTTCCCAACTAGTTATCTTCATAGCGAGAAACCGGAACTAGTAGTTAATGTTTAGTGCTTTTACAGTGAAGCAAACTGTCTTCGCATCTCTCCATCAGGTCACAAAGCTCAGTGAATTTTCGGTAGCTCAGATAGTGCTTGATGTTGGATAAAACGTAAAAGATCAAACACTAGAATGTACAAAACACTAATTTTTTATAGGTCCACTGCACTCTTAGCGGTTTATAAACACAACAATGTCTTCGCATTCTTTAGATATATGAGTACAAACTCTACAGGAAGTAAAGGGCTGCCGAAAACAATGGCTAATTGCTTTCGTCCCTGACAATCGACAATAGAATACGCGGAATTTCTTTAATGGCCAGTCGCTCGTCGGGCGAATTTTTCAAAGCCCTTTTTACCACGACGATGTTCACAAACAACATTCCCTGTACCTTTTGGGCAAGAAATGCTGGAGACTATATTGCTTTTCGCAGATGGTTTTCCGGATTCCAGCCCAAACTGAGTAGCCGCCTTTGTAGAGTGTTTTAAATGCGCAGATTCAGGACCGGGATTTTTTGCTTGAAATAAATGCGACACTTTTCCCTCGTTTCTCCATAACAGCACTGTCCGTTTTCAGATCATTAATTGTGTATCATCAACGCATGCCACAACGAATCACGTGCCACTCTTGTTTTCCACTAACATTCTTTGTTTTTGCCCGCTTTGTTTTCGGAAAACAATTTTTTATGCTCTGGTTATCTGCACATTAAACACCGTTACATTCCCAGCAAATGAAAAGTATCTACCTTTCTGGGTACCTTCTGAGATCAATCGCCAGCGTTTCTCCCCTGCGCGAAAGTTAATAAGTCAAAGCGAATTATTCCAGCTACCGGCCAACGATTATACCCTGCGCGATCACTGTTCTACGACGAAATGACGAGTTCAAGTTATGTTGACATGAGGTCAAAATGGAGCCAAGAAGAACGTTAGCGGGCTGCAGAGCCTTCTGGGTATCCAAAATCCCATATCCAGGCAGCCATTGTGGGCAGAATGTACCAGAGAGTAACAATATGAGTTAACATGATGGCGTGACTATTAGATTGTAACCTCGGGTATCTTCTACCCACGATTGTTACAAAGTTAATATGGCGTGACTGTTAGATTGTAACCTCAGGTGTCTTCTACCCACGATTGTTACAAAATTAATATGGTGGCCTGGCCATTAGATTGTTACTCTCTGGTACATTCTGCCCACAATGGCTTCCTGAATATGGGATTTTCGACAATCAGAAGGCCCTATACTTCGCTGACGTTCTTCTTGGCTTCATTCTTGACCTAATGTCAGCACAACTTGAACTTGCGCCATTTCGTCCTCGGACAGTGATTGCGCAGGATAGAGTCGCTGGCCAAGTAGCTTTGGTCGAATAATTCGCTTCGACTTATTGAATATCCACGGTCCACGGCCCACGGGTTGAGGCAACCAAAAAGTCGCATTTTCGGCTCAATACATTTGTCTCTGGTCAGGTTCATGTCAACAGCACTTGAATTCGAAAAGACGATTCCTGTTAAACTCCTTCGGAAAGATGCGAAATAAAGCGTTATCTCTGTAATTTCGAAACGTTGAGCCAAATCTTCTTCGTTCAAAACCTACCAATTTTTAATTCAGTCAAGTCGACGTGTGTTGTACACTTGAAACGGAATGATGACTGCACTGCGCGGAACACTCGATCGAAATGCCGCGCGAAAAAGTGGCGCGCTTATCAATTGATAGTTAATATATCGGTGGCTAATATTACACCAGTAATTGTCCAAAATAATTAAACAACCTGTGGTTAATCGATCCCGACTAAACGAATATTCACTGAACATACTTGTTTGTGTTATTGTTTTATATTTCTGTTTTCAAGTAGCAAGAAAGAGTATTTAAGAAAATTGGCGGAAAAGCCAATGTTACTTGTTTAATTATCGGTTCCCAGTCGCGTTGATGTTATCGAATTATTTCACAAAGAAGGTGTTTTGATAATCTGGGCGGTTTTAATTTCGGGGTAAAAAGTGTAGCTGGCGGTTTAGCTGGGGTAGAGTCCGCGATCGAGCAAGTTGACGGATCATGCTCTTTTAGGTTCTCTACCCCAACCAACTAACTAAACCACCAGCTACGCAGGCTACACCGAATGCGACTCCTCGGTGGTGGCTCACGTTTCCATTCAGTTGATTTTAATTAATCAGATGTTACACCAGCCTTCACTTGACCGCTTCGGTTTCCGAACAGCCTTCTATAAAAAGATAGACACATTATACTGAATTTCTGTAATCTCGACCCAGGTTCTAGATTCAGTGTTTAAGAAAGCCTTACCCAGCCGCGATGTTTAGTGTTTAAAACTTCATTACAGACGTCGGTTCGCATTTTTGAAGGAAGCGCGGTGAATTTCTGAGGAGGGATGCATTCCTCTAGACTTTATACTGAAAGGCATGCTGAATTGTTGGGGATGGGTGCAGCGACAACAAAGGCAAGCCTAGGAAGGAGAGACGTGCGAGCTACGCGCGAGGAAGGACGCTCTCCTCGTGATCATGCGTGCGCTTTGAACTCGCACGCACGAAATATCATTCATGAGCGCGCACCGCGATCCAGTGGTGGAGTGATACGCTTTTCCTTCAGAGCGTCTTCTTCAACAGAGTTTACAATTCTATCGGTGGTTAATCACTAGCGATGCATTAGTACGTAATCCAGAGACACTTCAAATATTATAGAAATCAAGATAAAGGCAGCGCGGAATTTACCGTTACACCCTTAGCCATTTTGACAACCGTATAAATAAGACATGTCAATCAGCTTTTTACTCATTATATAATATCAGGCGTATTAGAAAGTAGCTTCCCTTGTGCAAAGACTTTAGTACAAGCTCTAGTTATTAGCAGGGTTGACTACTGTAATGCCATATTATATGGTTTACCAGCCATCCATATTCGTAAGTTACAACGCGTTCAAAACGCCGCCGCCAGGCTACTGGCAAACACCCCACGCTATTCGCAACTGAATCACACCTGTGATGATAGATCTTCATTGGCTGCCCGTTAAATTTAGGATTATTAATGACTTTTAAGGCTATACACCACCTAGCGCCAGTTTATCTCAGAGATCTGTTATCTCTTAAAGAACATCTAATATACGATTGACGATCTAATGATACCGATATGTTAGCTCGGCCTGCAATAAAATCTGCGAAAACAACCAGTGACAGAGCTTTCTCTGTGGCCGCACCAGCTCTGTAGAATACTTTGCCACCTAGCCCCAGGGCAGTGGACAATATTAATACTTTTAAGAGAGAACTGAAAGCACACCTTTTTAAGCAAGCGTATTTTTCTTAGATTTAATTTGTTTCAGATTTTTGTAACGCGCATCAGATCATATATTTTAATGAATTTTGCGCTATACAAGTAATAAGATGATGATGATTATTATTATCATTAGTATTAGTATATCATCATTATCATTGTCATTATCATTATCATTATCATTATCATTATCATTATCATTATCATTATCATTATCATTATCATTATCATTATCATTATCATTATTATCATCTTAGTAGAATTCACAATCCGATATCAATTATACTCACCAGCGACTTGCTCCAACCCTTCCTCGCCATCCTGTATTCCGAGTCCAGGCCGCGTACTGATTGTACTGTTGGCTATATAGTTTGTATTATCAGTGAGCGAAAACACTTGGATAACTCCACCCCCTCCTCCACCCCCACAGTAATGAGAATGATTCAAACTGTAACCGCTGTCCCCACCAGCTGCCGATAATCGTCCGTTACTTCCTATGATCACCTAAACAAACGAAGGTACATAGAAATTTGCAATTACTCTCCATTTACCCCATTTCTCCGTCTAACAAATTTCTGCTTTTCCAGTTTCCAGCTCATCCCACAACAGTTTTTATGTCAATTGTAATAAGCGTTTGATTTTGAGTTTGTAATTAATCATATAATGACAGCGCAATTTCCAGAGGCTTACTTGAATAAGCTCCACTGAATCTTCCTATTTCACCTCCACACCACCACGCCTCTAATAAAACGACCCCTTCCCTTCACCTATGTGAGACCCGGCCTAAAATTAATGGGCCTCAATGTGGCTAACTAAAGAGAAAACAGTACAATTTTCAATATTCTCAAACAAAAGATGACGCGAAAAACACCCGAGAGACATCTACGAGTTACATTTAACGCTCCATAGTTTTGTATCGGACAATGCTCTAAAGCAGCTTATGTTTTGTAAATGTCGTTTCTACATCCCAGTACTTCAGGCCAAACTGAAACTGATCTCAAGACAATGTTAACGGATCTAAATATAACTCACTTTAGATTCTGTTGGGTCACAAGGGTCTCACTCTAGTTTAGTTCCTGTTCTCTTGATTTGTATACAGTATATATCACCTCATTTTCTCTCAGTATATCTCACCTTATTTCCTTGTAGTCTTATCAGTCCACCTGAACTACCTCCTGCACAGTGATCGTCACTTGTGTTACTACTTGAGTAACCGTCTGCTTTAATTGGAGCATCTGGAATAGAAGTAAACCTTTTCAACAGGAAATTTCGCCCTAAACCCCTCCATATGCCAATGCTAGTTTTGAGTTCATTGCTCGAGTGTGAACCGGTTTCATCAAAAACGAACTAAAGTACTTTCAGGGCTGAGGTCAGTAAAGAACCGGTACATAGCACGTCACGTCACAGCATACATAACACGTCACGTCATTTAAATAGCATGTCATGATGGTATGTCACTACATTTTAGTATTTGTTGTATAATGAATCGTTGTATGTTGTTTGATTATTGTTAATATTTATCGCATTCTTTCCCTTTTAATTGAATTATAAAACCACTTCTTTTAACTCAATTAGTTTAGCTCTCTTGTATTGTCACTGTAAAGCACCATCAGGGGAGTGTCAATTAATCATTGTTGTTGTTGTACATCAATTGCCGGACATTTTACGCCGCTCAGGTAGCCAAGTATTTTTAATAGTTCGGCTGGTTATGCGCACACAGCTTTTCCTAAACAACGAGTGATCTTTGACGCCATTTATTTGCACAAATGAGGCAGCGTCCCCACTACACCGGAGGAATTTGAAAACGCAGCTTTATTTCTACGGTTAGGTCTACCGTCCACACTAATACGTCACCAACACAGAGCTTTTCGAAACGCTCTTCAAACCGGAGAAATTTGAAAACGCTGACTCTGTGTTTTAGTGTGGACGGAAAACATTTTGAAAACGGAGCTTTTCCAAAACGATGACGTCACGATAATCACGTGATTTCCCTGACCGAGTTTTCCTCAAACACAAATCCAAAATGACCGCTGATTGTTGCGTTTTTAAATTCCTCCGGCGTGGTGTGGACGGAAAACATTTGATGCGACGTCCTCACAGTGAAACTTCCGTTTTCAAATTCGTCGGGCGGAGTGTGGACGAAACCTGAGAGGAAAGGCAAACCAAGACTAGGTCCAGCACGTGGAGTGCTGGTTAAAGCAAAGCGGCTAACAGATTACCTTGCTTGTCGGAGGAACAGATGGTCGATTTAACAAATTGACGTCAGTTTTTCATGCGTCTGTCCTGTTATTGATCTGGAATTTCGTCCTAACATTGTCAAAGTAGCTGCGGATCCACTAGGCGACTACTTTGACAATGTTATGACGAGTCATTGTCAATAACAGGACAGACGCATGAAAAACTGACGTCAATTTGTTTTTTACGATAACAAATTGTCAAATTGTCCCGCTCTCGCTCGTTGACGCATCGCATAAATTATAAATTCATGTGTCTGTCCGCTTATTGACAATAAAAATTAGCCAATGAGCGAGCGAGAATTTCGGCAGTTATCGTAAAATTTGGGCTTAAAGTGGCTCCCTAGAGTATTTACGAACACCCTCCCTATAGAGCGCGAGTTAGAAAAGGAAACTTAGTTGACTTCTCTTAAAGTTTTCCCTGTAGAGATTTACCAGTATGGGTACTGTTAAAATAAGGCTAACTTTTTCGTTGTCAATTTTCGGATTAAGGCCGTTACCATGGCAACATCTCATCTAATGACAGGGAGATATATTCCTCATTTTGGCCTAAACTCCTTAATATTTATACTTTCCTTCGGTGAAATTGTTTCATACTTTGCCACATCATGGAAATGATATTGCCTGACATTTTGAATTGGTAAATAGTCAAGGTTGTTCAGACGGTTTTTCCAATATCCTGTAATTTGTCATTCTTCTAAATATATTAGATTAGTTCTGACAGATTTTAACAAAAATAGGGTATTTTATAGGAATTGTATGTGGTTACAACCGACCAAATTTAAAAAAAAAATTACCGAAGGAAGCGCGAGGAAATTCACTGTCAGTTTTGCTCTTTGTGCGTATGTTGACGTCATAAAAATCGAAAAACACTTACGTTTTCCTTTCAGCGCGCGCAGATTACTTGAGCTTTCGTCCCATGCGCGCGTGCAATCCTAAAACTAAATAGAGCCACCTTAAATTACACGTTTAATTTGGGTTTCTTTTAATTTAATTTAATTTAATTTAATTTCCTGCTGTAAGCTCACAAATTTAAAAAAAATACTGTTTTGGAATCGAAAATTAAAATTCTGAAACTCCTACCAACGGTCAGGATTCCGTTTTCAGCGACTAATTCAATAGCTCCACCACCAGAGCCAGATTTGCTGCTGAACAAAACTGTTCCTGTGAAAAAAAAAATATATAATAAACAGTTATAATGTATGCTCTCGATTTCTATGCTTCGCGCTTTCGCTATTAGGGAGTTTAGAAAACCACGACGGCAATGGCAACGGGAACGTCGTTAAACAAAAGATTTAATTAGGAGAACAATGGCTGTGCACGTGCGTTATAATTCTTGGTACATTTCTTTACCGTCCTCGGCAAAACAACAACGTGAAATGACCAAATTCTGCGTTGTCTGGAGAACGTGAACCACGACGGCTATTTTTTTTAAATTTTATTTCAAGTCTATCGCTGTGTCTCAGATTCAGTTGTGTGAAAGTTTTGTCACTGATAAACAAAGTAAATGACTTTAGAGTATCGCGAGATTCGTAGGTAAAATATAAAGTCATTTTTTAATCGACGTTGTCCTCGGCGTCGCCGTCCTGGTTACTCCCTAATTTTGGGCACGGAACGAAATGTCGTTTGAAATTAAACTTGCAGCAGTTTGCACGCGCTCATCAGTTCACCGAAAAATTCTGAGATTCTTTTTAAGTCGCATGACGGGCACAACTTTCTTGAGTGTTCTTAGGAAGTGAAGTGTCCAGCGGCATTCGTTAATCCTCGTCGAAACGTTTGGAGAAATGTGAAAACGTTACCATTATGAAGACTTCCAGCCAATGCACACTACTTAAACAATAGAGTGTTTCTGTCGAGGAACCATCGGCTGATAGTTGCCCTGCGGAAATCTGATGTTCTTAAAACAAATATTTGCCCGAGAAGTGAAGCTTCGAGGTCAAATATGCTAGCCTTATGAACATCAAATTTTCAAGGGGTAACTATCAGACCGATAGTTCCGACTGACATAAACTCTCTACTGTCTTTGTTGTTCACCACTACATTTTCTTCCGCGAGCCAGTTCAAAAATCATACTGAATTATTTTCAACTTTTTTAGATGAATTGAAGTCGTGAAAGCCAAATTTAATGAACCGCTTGTTTACAGAAATATTTTCACGGACGAGTATTATCCATCCGGGTATTTTCTTGGGACCGGCACTATTTAAACACGGAGCGATCCTATATAACGAGGCTGAGGTGTTAAGCCTGTCAATCACAAATCCCAACGGACGACCAATGCTCCCATTTGATTGGCTTATTCACTCAGGTCTAATTTTAACGCGTTGCCACAAAATTCTGGAGAGCGAACATACGGGTGTAATTTCTGTTTAACAAATAAAAAAGCCTCGACTGTGCTCTGTTCTGTTGTAAAGCACGCAGGAAGCGGTAGAGCAGGAAAGAAGTGTAGGGGAAAACACGAGACGTTGTCGAGTGGTTTTCCCTACTTCTTGAGTGCTCTACCGCTTCCTAAGTGCTTTACAACAGAGCAGAGCACAGTCGAGGCTTCTTTATTTGTTTTGGGATAAAGAATCCGATAATTTCCCCACGCATTCGGCTGAATTTTCAAACCAAACTTTATTTTCCAAACGAGTAAAAGTGACGTCAGCCGTGCACTGTTCTCTGATAAAACACGCTAAAATAAGCCAATCACAATCTTTGTTAGAATTGTTCAAATAATTTGATTGGCTAACGAAGCGACAGCTGTCAATCACAAA